GACGATGCAGCACCCTCACCAAACAATGGAAAATGAATTTGACGTTGTTTCCACTGGAGCTCTACAAAGAGTCCACCAGGTGCACCGTAGCACAGCGCAAGTTACACCGCAGTGTCGTTTCCGGCTGAAGGCCGGTAGCGGCCCGCTGGGCACCGCAACGAAGCAGAGGTCGCGTCCGTCGCACGCGTCCGTCACACATTCGCCGTGTGAATGCGTGTTTGCAGTAAGAAGGGCGCGTTGGACGTGCATAGTACAAGAGCCCGTAAGGGTGCAAGGCATCCACACTGCCCAAGCTACGACACAGACACACCGCTAGGTTGCACGCGGCCCCGACACCAAACTGAAATCAAAAAGCGCGCCAGGACCTGCGCAAACCTTCTCCACGAATCAAACCACTGCGCATGCTACACAGAAAGACCGCTAGATGGCCCACCGGCCCTATGTCCCACCTCGACCACAAAGACCAACCACACTCTGCCCCAATAAAACACGAGGTTTGGGGCAGGTACGTTGAAACTCAATGCACATGACCCCGTCCACCGACGAGTCCAAACTACGTCACACGTAGTACACGATCCCACCGCTAGATTGCACGCTACCCCAATGCAAAACCTCAACCAAAAAGCTCGACCAAAACCTGCCCCAAGAAAACACGAGGTTAACCCTAGTTACCACTTGTGCAATGATGATGTGCGGTCCAGCGACGCAGCCTTTGTGCAACGAGTCTACGTACGCTTGGGTTGTCATCGTCATCGATACAAGGATCGCTGACGCTAGCATTCCTCTACGTACGCTTGGGTTGTCATCGTCATCGATACAAGGATCGCTGACGCTAGCATTCCTCTCGCACGCAGCATTCGCACTGGAGTCGCTGGCAGCTGTCGTGCTCGTGCTCGTACTCGCACCAGCGATGTGCAATGAGCACTGGACCATGGTTGAAGCTGATAGCCTGCGGCGCAACGTCAGGTACGACCGCCAGCTATGGCCGCCCAGCTATTCATGGCACCGGCGCTCTCTTTGCCCTGGTCGTGCGTACAGGCGCTGGCGCTGTCATGGTCGCTTGCCCTCGCCACCGAGGTCGTCGCAATGCTCCGATGGTTGCTTGGACGCCTGCAAAAATCGAAAAAAGCGCGATTTTTGTCCAATCAGATGCGTCGTTTCTCCACGGCCTTAAAAGTTTGCGTGCAAGTCGGACACTTGGGTCGAGTTGGATATCGCGCGTTGGGATTTTGAACCGCGATGGAGTCGACGACGGACCTGCGCCAGCTCATGGCGATGGCCGTGCGCATGCGCGACGAAGGCCGGACGAGCGATCCGCGCTACCACCAGATCGTGACGATCCTGCGCGCGCAGCAGCAGCGCCTCACGGACGCCCGCCAAGCGCCGGCCAGCGAGGCCAAGGGCAAGGCCAAGGCGGTCGTGGCCGCGCCGCGCACGGAGCCCAAGCCGCTCATCTTCACCGAGAAGCAGCTCACGCACCTCCACCAGCAGATCCGTACGTTCAAAGCGCTCAGCCGAACCATGGACGAGCTCCTCGCAAAAGACGTTTCGGCGGCCGCGGCTGCGACCGCTGTCGTGCCCGAGGTACCTGCGCCCGTGCTCGTCACGCCGCCACCAACGCCCACGATTGCGTCAGCGATCACGCTTCCCGAGATCATTGATGTCACGCGGCCGACTCCTCTCGACGTCACGCTTGCATGGGCCCGTGGCGACCGCGAAATCGTGTACGTGCCGCAGGAAGCGCTCGCGTCTTGCATCCTCCACGAGCTCGACGAGAACGACGACACGCCGACGCTTCCCACAGGCTTGCGCGGCCTCCAGGCACAGCTCCGTGAACAAATGGTCATGGCGTACCACGTGCAACTGGCGCAACTCGGCGACCCGGTCCACGTCGACCGAACGTTCTTCAAGCGCAAGCGCCCGATGCTCGCGTTGTACGACCCGTCGGAGCGGGAGCGCCGCATGAAGAGCCTTTCGAACGAGAAGAAGCGGCGCGCGGCGCGGAACGTGTACCTGCGCACGGTCTTGAACCACGCGCGCGAGTTCTCGGCCTTCCACAAGGCGCGCGTCTCGTCGCTTGCCAAGGTCTCGCGCGGCGCCAAGGCCCACGTCGACGCCAAGGCCAACCGCGCCGAACGCGAAGAAGACCGTCAAGAGAAGCTGCGTCTCAAGGCGCTCAAGGCCAACGACATGGCGGCCTACTCCAAGCTCGTCGCGGAAGCCAAGAACGAGCGCTTGACGTATTTATTGTCGCAGACCAACACGTACCTCGACAGCATCCGCGAGCTCGTGCGCGGCCATCGCGAGAAGCACGGGCTGGTCGCACCAACGCCTACGGGCGATGACGCAGCCGACGTCGACGACGAACTCGACTACCTCGGCATCGCTGTCAACAGCGAGATGCCGCGGCAGCCGCAAATGCTTGTGGGCGGCGACCTCAAAGAGTACCAGCTGCGCGGTCTGCAGTGGATGGTGTCGCTCTACGACAACCGCCTCAACGGCATCTTGGCCGATGAAATGGGTAAGGTCCGCCAACTAGTTGATAAGTTGATCATTTGTCTGGTCTAGGTCTCGGGAAGACGATCCAGTCCATCTCGCTGGTGACGTACATCATGGAGATCAAGCACAACCACGGCCCGTTCCTTGTCGTCGTGCCGCTCTCGACGCTCTCCAACTGGGTCAACGAGTTTCGCAAGTGGGCGCCCGACATTACGCTCGTCGTGTACAAAGGTGCCTGCGCTTGATACATTAAAAGAAATGTGGGGCCAATGTGGTGTAGGACATCCGCAAGCGCGCAAGGACATTTACCGGCTCGAGATGGCGAGCGTCCAGTTCAATGTCCTGCTGACGACGTACGAGTACATCATGAAGGACAAGCACGTGCTTCGCAAGTACGACTGGCAGTACATCATCGTCGACGAAGGCCACCGCATGAAGAACGCGCAGAGCAAGTTTGCAATGACGCTCGGGTCGCTCTACACGTCGCGGAACCGGCTCTTGCTGACGGGCACGCCGCTGCAAAACTCGTTGCCGGAGCTCTGGGCGCTGCTCAACTTTTTGCTGCCGACGATCTTCGAGTCGGTCGACAACTTTGAGCAGTGGTTCAGCAAGCCCTTCTCGCACTTTACGGGCACTGGCGAGAACAACGAGCTCTCGGACGAAGAGCGCATGCTCATCATCAACCGGTTGCACCAAGTGCTGCGTCCGTTCCTCCTCCGGCGCGTCAAGAGCTCGGTGCTCGACCAGCTGCCCGACAAGGTCGAGCGCGTCATCCGTTGCGAGCTCTCGGGCTGGCAAAAGATCATGTACCGGCGCATCCAGGAAGGTGGGTCGCTCCTCATGGAAGCGTCGTCGTCCACGGAGAAGGCCAAGTCGTCGTTCACAGCAAAGGGCCTGAGCAACATCCTCATGCAGCTCCGGAAGGTGTGCAACCACCCGTACCTCTTCCAGACCCAGGGCTACCCGATCGACTTTGACATTGTGCGCTCGGCTGGCAAGTTTGAGCTCCTCGACCGCATGCTGCCCAAGCTCCACGCGGCCGGGCACCGCGTGCTCATGTTTTCGCAAATGACGCAGCTCATGCACGTACTCGAAGACTACTTCACCTACCGCGGGTACGCTCTCTTTTGTGAAACATTGTGACATGGGCGCCTTGTAGGTTTCGGTACCTGCGGCTCGACGGCTCAACAAGTGCGGACGAGCGCGAGCAGCGCATGTTTATGTTCAACGCGCCCGACTCGCCGTACTTTATCTTTTTGCTGAGCACGCGCGCGGGCGGCCTCGGGCTCAACCTCGCGACGGCCGACACGGTCATCATCTTTGACAGCGATTGGAACCCGGCCATGGACGCGCAAGCGCAGGACCGCGCCCACCGCATTGGGTGCGTTTGGTTTGTATCAACTTGATACGAGAAATAGTGTAGGCAAAAGAACGAAGTGCGCGTCTTCCGGCTCGTGACCAACTCGCCGATCGAAGAGAAGATTCTGAGCCGCGCTACCGAGAAGATGAACATGAACAACCTCGTCGTCGAGGCTGGCAAGTTCCACGCCAAGTCCAAGGAGGCGGACCGCCGCGCGATGCTCGAGTCGCTCATAAAGATGGAGAGCGAGGACGCTGGAGATGACGAGGCCATGGTCATGGACAACGACGAGCTCAACTCGATCATGGCGCTCACGGACGAAGAGCTCGCGCAGTACCACCGCATGGACAACGAGCGCATCCTCCGCGAGGCCAAGACCTTTGGGAGTCCGTTCAATCGACTCATGGGCATGGCCGACGTCCCGCCGTGGCTCAAGGCTGCCGAAGCCGCCGAAGTGCAAAAGTCGATGGACGTCGCCGACGACGACGGCGTCGGCCTCCTCTTTGACGACGTCAAGCGCAAGCGCAAGGAGATCTCGTACCGAGACATGTCGGAGGCGCAGTTCCATCGCATCCTCGAAGACGGTGGCGACGCGGTCGATGCAGACAATATCATGCAGCCGGCCGCCAAGAAGCCCAAGATTGAAGCGGCAGACGCCCCATTGCTTGTCTCGTCTGACAAGCTGCGTCAGCTGTACGACGCGGTGCTGCGGGCAAAGGACGGGTCGGGTCGGCTGCGTCACTTTTTGTTTCTTGAAAAGCCGTCGGCTGAAGACTACCCGTACGTGCAACTGCCCGACACGGCGTCCTAACGATGCGATAGGGACTACTACACGATCGTGACGACGCCCATGGACCTCGTGACGATCGACGCGCGCATTGCCAGCGGCGCGTACGCGTCGTTTGATGCGATCGAAGCCGACTTCCGGCTCATGTTTGAGAACGCGCAGCGCTACAACCACAAGGACTCGCTCGTGCACCACGACGCGGTCGAGATGGCCAAGGTCATGAAGACCAAGCTCCGGAGCCTCAAGGGACTGAGTGGCAGCAGCAGTAGCAAAAAGTCCAAGAAGGCCCGGCGGTAATCGAATGCTCTTTATGTCGTTGGTTGGGCGTTGGATATGGTCGCTTGGTTGGGCCAACTAGGTAAAGTACCCGGCATCGACCACGTCCGTCGACGACGGCTGCATCTCGTTGAGGTTCGGGTGCGTCGTGGCGCCGGCGGCTTGAAAGATCTTGAACGTACGCTACGAACGACGAGGTAGCGTCAGACGTCCGTGACAACTCGTACCTCGAGGTTGTCGTCGACACACATGACAGACGCGAGGTTGCCAAAGCTAGATGCAACAGGAACACATAATGTTGCAGCGAGCGAGGCGTGTGGTACCGGTAGCAGTAGTTGGGCGCTGACCAGATCGTGGAAAAGGTGTCGCGGAAGAGCACTTGGTAGCCCTCCATGCAGAGCTGGTGGGCGCGGCTGATGTGCTGGAGGTCGTTGAGGTGCAGGAACTTCTCGACAATGTCGGCGCCAAACATGTAGCCCGCGCCGCGCGGCGAGAGGTGGAAGCCGTTGCTCTTGGGCTCGGGGTCGGACCAGACCAGATCTGTTGCGTCGGATGAGCGCGGCCGCCAGACGCAGCTACGCACCCGCAAATGGACCGTCGGACGGGATCTCCATAACGCGGTTAATCATGCGGATCTGGTCGACGTAATGGACCGCAGGGCTCAGGCCACCATGGATGGCCATGAGCTGCTTGTTGACAATCGCGCCTGGATGAGAGATCATCAGCATTGATACAGGAGGCAAGTGTACCGAGGGGAAGGTAGTCGAAGACGTCCATAAAAGCCTTGTAGACGCGCTGGTCGCCGTCGTACTTCTTACTGCACTCGGTCTGGAAGCCGTACACGGACGTTGTTTGGCGCGACTCGTGGTTGCCGCGGATGAGGAACGTCGAGTCCGGGAAGCGCACCTGCAGCCATCAGTCATGGCGAGCATGAGCTTGGAGACACATACCATGCGGACGAGGAGGAAGCTGATGGTCTCGACGCTATGGGACCCGCGGTCGACAAAATCGCCAAGGAAGAGCATGCGCTGGCCAATGTCGAGCGACATGAGCGTGAGGAGGTCGGCAAACTGCCCGTGGATGTCGCCGCAGATCGTGATGGGCGCCGGGAGGTCCAGCAAGGTCGGCTGGTTGGCGAGGTGCTCCTTGGCCATCGCCAGCAGCCGGAGGAGGCTCGTCACGTCCAGCGGCTGCGAGTTAGCGAGCCGCTCGTACCACCGGGCGCAGTCGTTCATCGAGGAAGACAGTGAAAATGACCCGGATCTATCCGGATAAAACAGCATGGCTTGTCCAGGTCGGTATCTTGCGAAGCGGCGCCATGGACGACGACTTTGGCAGCGGGACATGGACGAGCTTGGGCGTCGGCGTCGCGATCGGTCTCGTCCTCATTAGCTTCCTCACGCTCTATCCTGGTGAGCCATTCGAGTACACGCCGGACGCCTTGGAGCGCAACGCGGCGTCCTCGGCTACCTCGCCCGACGACGACGAGCGCTGCTTGCCAGAGAAGGCTGCAGACACGGACGAGCGCAAAGCGGCGGCTGCCCGCGTCGAGAAGATTCAGGCTCTTCTCGGCCTGCAAGACGCCGAAATTCAGTCGGCGCTGGCGGCAGCCTCGCGCGCAACACCCGCCCACCCCACAGCCGGCCGCACCAACTACATGGCGATCGCTGACAAGTGCGTGTACGCCGTCTTCTTTGGCCTCTTGCTGCTCGTCGCCGAGCGCGAATATGGCATCAACGTCGCTGCAGTGCTGAGCTACGTCTTCCCGCGCGAGGCCGCGACCGTGCACCAGCTGTGGCCGTGGACGTCGTCGGTCCACGCCGCGCCGTAGCATATTCTGTGAACATGGAATGACTATTTCTTAAACGATTACACGAGTCGCTTCTCGGCAGCGCGGGCGTGGCCTTCGAGGCCTTCGATGCGCGCGAGGGCGACCGCGTCGCGGACGAGCTCCTGCGACTGCGCCGCGTCGTCAATGCGCATCCACGTACGAATGCGGAGGAACGTGTGCACCGAGAGCCCGCCCGTGTAGCGCGCCGTGCCGCCCGTGGGGAGCACGTGGTTCGGGCCGACGCCGTAGTCGCCGAGGACTTCGGCCGCGCGTGCGCCAATAAACAAGCCGCTACACCGTCGTCATGAGTCATCGTCGTCCTCCGGCAAGTGCAAGTTCCTACCCGTAGTGCACAATGCGCTTGGCAACCGCGTTGCTGTCGGTGCAAATGATCTCGACGTGCTCGGCCGCAAGGATGTTGGCAGCCTCGACAGCGGCGTCGAGGTTCGGGCAAAGGACCGCAAAGCCCTTCGCGACACTCACGGTCGCCGTCGCGCCGGTCGGGAGCACGGCGAGCTGTGACACAATCTCTGCGTTGACGGCATCCACAACAGCCTGGGACGTCGTGACGAGGATCGGCACCGCCGCCGTGTCGTGCTCGGCCTGCGCAAGGAGGTCGGCAGCGATCGTCGCGGCGTGCGCGAGGCCCCCCTCGTCAGCCACCACGAGGCACTCGGACGGCCCCGCGAGCATGTCAATGGCGCACTTGCCGTACACGAGCGACTTGGCTGCCGTGACCCACCTACGTCGCCGCGACACATGAGCGGACGAGGTGAAGCGCAGTCGCGCGTACTTGTTGCCGGGGCCGACGATGATGTCGCAAGGCGGGACGCCGTCAATGCCGTACGCGAGCGTAGCGATGGCTTGCGCGCCGCCCACCGCGAGAAGCGCGTCGGCGTTCGAGATGTACGCGGCGGCGAGCGTCGCGGGGGCCGGGCGCGGCGAGGCGACAATGACCGTGGCGACACCAGCCACGCGCGCCGTGACGGCCGTCATGAGCACGGACGAAGGCAGCGGGTACTAGTGTGGACGAGATGAGACAAAACATTGGTAGCAGATTCAACGTACGCGGCCACCAGGGGCGTAGCAGCCGGCGACTTGCATGGGCGACACGTCTTGGCCAGCTTGGCCACCAGGAATGTCACGTGCAAAGCTCTGGATCGACGCGCGCTGCGCTTGGGCAAAGACTTCGATGCGCTGCTTGGTGCGCTGCAGAAGCTGCTGCTCAGCCACGGGCAGCGCGTCGAACGCTGCCTGCATCTCCTTGCGCGAGTACAAGATAGGCGCGTTCTGCGATGGGATGTCGCCGAGGCGGAGCGCGTGGTCGCGGACCGCGTCAAGGCCGCGTGCGCGCACGTCGTTGACGATGGCGCGGGCCTGCTCGAGCGCCTGGGGTTCGACCGGGTCGTACGCAAAGGCGCGGACGTCGCTCGGGGCAATCACGCGGAGTCCACTCATCGTGATCTTCGTCTCCTTTCGGCAAAATGCAATCTGAAAAGATACGATCGCGTGGTGTTTTAATTTGCTTACAAATTACAAGTGTTTTCCGATCGTAAGAATATTATTTTCGTAGGCGGAACGTTCTTTTGGCCCTTTGAGGCAACCACATGGCGCATTCACTCGGCTTCCAACGAGCTCCCGCTCGGCGACGCGAGCGTTCGTCGACCACGCCCGCCAATGGTTGCCACCAATAGACGAGGCTGCTTGGTCAGGAGCACACCGGCGCGGTTGACTCCAACTCAGTTCGTATAGTAAGAAACTGTCTTGGGAAGCGATGAAGGAGCGCAATGCACCGAAGATAAGTTCCTTCGGCACGGAAGCGGTCTTGCGCGAGACCGGCAAGAACGACTCGAGATCGACGATACCATTGTGGTGCTCTGCATCTGGCGGTGGCCTGATGCCGAACACCGTGTCGCTCAGGACCATTTGACTCCAAGCGCCCCGTTTAGGGGTAGGGTTCGTCACGAGCCATCGCACAAGACTTGTCCATCATCAAGAGGCCATCTACCTGTTGTTGATCGTGCTACACTAGACGGCTATGCTCACGTGTTCCAGGAACTTCGTCTCTTGCCGTCTGTGACAAAACCATTTCAATCGAGAGTTCCCGGTAGTAGTTGGGGGAAAATGAATATTGATCGATGCAGTAATTATGAAAGAAACACTCAGCTGTTGTCGCGACGCAGCGCGAGGAGCACTTGGTCGAGCGACTGCGACGGCTCGATCTTGCAGAGACCGCTAGTCGAAAGAATGCTCGCCGCTTGACCGCGTGCGTTGGCGAACGAGACAGTCGCGTCCAAGTGCGTGAGGCGCTCCTCGAGAATCTCAAACGTCTGGATCGAGGTGGCGTCAATGTCATGGAGGAACGTCGTGTCGAGGACGACAAGGCGCCGGCCAGCATGCAAGACGAGCTGTGTCATAATGTACTGCGAGAGGAACTCGGCGTTGCCAAAGTAGAGCGAGCCTTCGACTCGCACGATGAGTGTGTCGTTGGGCATGACGGCCTCGGGGTGCACGCTCGTGTCGACGTAGTGGCCGTCAGCATTGAGGCCGAGGAGGCAGACCACGGGGCGCTTGGTCTTGATCATGACAGCGAGGAGTGAGCACCCAATGGAGCCAAAGAGACCCGGGAGGATGCCAAGACCCACCGTGAGCACGAACGAGACCATCCAGACGTAGAATTCGTCGCGCTTGGCCTTGAAGAGCCACTTGGCTTCGTCGACCTCAATGAGCCAAAAGCCAGCGACGATAATGATCGACGCGAGGCTCGCCTTGGGGAGGTAGTAGAGAGCGTCGGTCAAGAAGAGCAGCACGAGGATGACCAATGTGACGGTGATGAACGAGGCCAGCTGCGTCTTGGCGCTCTGGACGTTCACCGCCGTACGGGACATACCACCGGTCGGTGGCATGACCTGGAAGAAGGCGCCAACGCCAGAGGCAAAGCCGAGCGCGAGCAGCTCTTGGTTCGAATCAATGTCATAGTTGCCACGCACTGCGAGCCGCTTGGCGATCGCAACGCTGGTCGAGTAGACAACAAGTGCCATCGTCGCGGCTTGGAGGAGGATGCTGCCAAAGCTGTCGGTCTTGATCAAACCATCGCTGTAGCCATACCACGGCAGCACGACACTGGGCATGCCCTGCGGTACATGGCCCGTGACCTTGACGCGCTTCTCGCCAATGAGGTACCCGGCGAGGATACCGAAGAAGCAAATGACAAGCGGGCCAAGATCGAGAAGCGTGCGCAAGAGGAAGAGGAAGACAGCTTTGGTCTTGCCACTACCTTCTTGCAGTGCCGTCGTCTTGCGGAGGAGACCCTTCTCGGCTGGCTTGTCATGGTCTTCTTCCATCGTCGCGTAGTCGCCTTCGTTGAGCGAGAAGCCCCACTGCTCGCGGGGCGTCGCGACAGGATGCGTAGAACTGGGACCGTCGAGGAGCTCGGTGAGCTTGGGCGCCTCGACGAGGTGCTTCTTGGCGTACTTGAAGAACGCGAGCACAATCATCGAGAGAACTCCGATCGTGAACGAGATCCAGTTGATCTTGTTGAAGTTGTGGAAGATCTCGTAGATCGTTTGCAGCGGGTACGCGTGCGTCGGCAGCGACAGCTGGAGCCACGTTGGGAACTGCGCGACCATGATGAGGATGCCACCGGCCGAGAGGAAGCCGCCCATGACAGGTCGAGAGAAAAAGTCAGCGACGACACCGAGACGGAGGCAGCCCAGTGCAAAGTTGATACACCCGACAAGGAACGAGATGAGAATGCCGACAGCGACGCGCTCCTTCATGTTGGGGATCGTCTGGAGGTACGTGCCGACCATGAGACTCACTTCGGAGCCGTTGGCGACCGAGAGGACACGGGACGTGCCGAAGATCGTGTACAAGACGGGCGTTAGCGCCGCTGTGTAGAGGCCATACTGCGCGGGCACGGCCATGACGTTGGCGAGCGAGATCTCTTGCGGTACGATCATCATGGCGACGGTCACACCGGCAATCACGTCGAACTTGAGGTCGCGCTGGATGTTGTACGATGGCACCCACTGCAGCAGCGGAAAGAGCTTCTTGAGGCGGTGCTGAACCATGGTGCACTAGGTAGCGCGAGGCAAAAGGCGAAGTGAACTGAGCTTGTGCGACCAGGCTATCACGTCTGGAAAGGCGCGCGTTGTACGTTGAACTTCCAAATCGATGTAGTGGTTATCATCCAAGGCAACGATAAGGGGATCGTAAAAGCGACACCTTGTTGAAACGTTTCCATACAACCCGCCCACGCACAGATATAAAGTGTACGAAAAGGGGATTGCCTGCTTCTTGCCGCTATCATCGCCTATCACAGGAAAGCTGAGTACCACCCAAGAGTACCTTCCTGAACATTGCACTGGTGTTGTATATGCCTGCTACAGCCAGGCGCGACGAGCTCGCGGAGCACGACCGCAACCAGTCCAAATGGAAGGATTGCTGGCGATGACTCTGAGAGATGCTGATCTATGATTGGCCCCGCTGAATTTCGAGCTCCCAATCAGTGACCTCTGTTGCAGCGACAGATGGTGATCAGCGAGAGCGGTAAATTCGACGATAAGATCTTGGATCTTTCCTCGTCGAAAACAACTTCCCAAGGACGTGCCAATATTCGGCTCGTTCCCAACATCGCCTCGCGTATCTCGTCCTCATTTGCGCTTGGCAAAAGCAGCCTTCGGTTGTCGGCGAAGGACTCATTGTGGCTGGTAACCAGAAGCCTCGAACCGGTGCGAGGCACGTGAACGAAGCGTGTAGACACCAAATTTCTGGTCCGTGCTTCGCGGTGGATGTTTCACCGTGGTACGACGAGACAACACTGATGGTACACGCAGCCCAACCACAGCAAACAAGCTCAGCAAACCGCAGTGACCATCCTGACCAGAATCGTAGCACACGATTGTGGCTGGCAAATCTAGCCCACTCTGCAAGTACACGTACTAGTACATGAGTTATACCACACTTCCGGCTTGTCATTAAGCGCAGGCACATCTTGCACCACAAACTCAAGAACACAGGTGGCCCTTGAAGCGAGTTGCACGCCACGTCCCGTCCAAGCCAACAGCCGGCAGTGCTGGGAAATCCCAGTCATCCGGATACGGACAGCGGCCTTGCCGGATGGCGGGCGCAGCGCCAAGCAGCACCATTCGGCAGGTCGCATGGCACGAGGTCGGTGGTCGCGGCGTTTCCCGCTGCTGGAGTGGGTACCTGCGTACGATGTCCAGCGCGATCTCAAGTTTGATTTGATTGCCGGCGTGACCGTCGCCATGATGATTGTGCCGCAAGAGATCTCGCTCGCCAACGTCATGAACGTGCCGCCGCAGTATGGCCTCTACACGGCCGCGATGACGCCGGCGCTCTACACGATCTTTGGCACGTCCCGCGTCCTCTCGGTCGCCAACGGCGCCGAAGTGAGTCTCATGGTCGGCACGTACCTCCAGACGATCCCAACCGCCGCAGAGCGCATCGCGGTGGGCATTTTCCTCTCGTTTCTGATTGGCGCCATCAATATTGTGCTCGGGTGCCTCCAGCTCGGCGTGATCGCCGACTTTTTCTCCCGACCTGTCATGGGCGGCTTCCTCTCTGGCGGCGGTGTCCTCATCATGATCTCGCAGCTGCCGACGTGGTTCCAGCTGAAGCTGCCAACGTCGTCGTACCCGCTCGAGACGCTCTACCGCGTGTGCACGCATCTCGGCGACGCCAACGGTATCTCATTTGGCATCGGTCTTGTCTCGATCATTGTGCTCTCGCTCTTCAAGTATGCGAAAGCGCACTGGGTCGAGGCGCCAAAACTCAACGAGCTACTCGAGTCCCCGCGCGCGTTCCAGCCGCTGCACGAGTCCGCAGCGCCGCTCGCGTCGCACCGGACATGGGGCTTTTCACTCACCGACTCGGACTTTGCTTCCATGGAGCACCTCCCGTCGGCGCCCATGCCCAGTGACAGTGGTGAGGAACTACCATTGCGCGCTGCGTCGTCATCGTCATCGTCGTCCAAGGCATGCAAGGTTGTCATCTTTGTGCTCAAGACGTGCCTCGACCTCGGCCCGCTCTTTATCTGCGCGTTTGGCGTTCTCGCCGGGTACCTCATTGGCGAATCCCGCGTCAAGGTCACGGGTCATGTGCCCCAAGGTCTTCCGTCGCCGGTGCTGCCGTGGTACGGCTATACCGAGCACATCATCACGTCGGTCGATTTTTCTGATGTGGCTTTGCAAGCCGCGACGATCGCCGTCATTGTCTACTCGACGAGTATCGCGATGGCCAAGCGGCTCGCGGTGCGCGGCAACTACGACATTGACGCTAACCAGGAGCTGCTCGGCCTCGGCTTTGCATCCGCCATCGGCGCCTTCTTCCAGGTCATGCCACCGACCGGCGGTATGTCCCGCACGGCTGTCAATGTGCAGAGCGCACGCACGCAACTCGCGTCTTTTGTGACCGTCGTGCTCGTGCTGTTTGTGCTGCTCTTCCTCACCAACGTGCTCCATTTTCTACCCAAAGCAAGTCTTGCGGCCATCATCATTGTCGCTGGCTACTGGCTCATCGAGACGCACGAGGCGACGTGGCTGTATACCGCCAAGCGCGATGAGTTCTACGTCTGGATCCTCTCGTTCGTGCTCACGATCGGACTCGGGATCCTACCGGGCCTCTTTAGCTCCATTGGGTGCTCGCTCCTCGCCGTCATGATCAAGACCAAGCGCCCGAACGTGTGTCTCCTCGGCGAAACCGAGGACGGCCATATCGTCGACTTGAGCCTTCACAATGAGGTCGCCGCGCGCGTGCCCGACGACGCCATCTTGGTCCGCGTCGAGGGCTCGCTTTACTTTGGCAACGCCGAGTTTGTGTCGCAGTTTTTGCTCTCGCAAGTCGTACTGCACCCGGGGCGACGCCTCGTCGTGCTGGATGCGAGTTACCTCTATGACGTGGACGCGACGGCTCTTCAAGTACTTGCGACGGTGGCCGAGCGACTGGGTACGCAAGGCATCCGGTTCTCGGTCGCAGGCGCGCGCGGTGTCGTCGCGTCGAGCTTGGAGACGCTTCTGGACGTGAGCACGTTGCCGTTGAGCCTTGCGCTTCTGCAAGTGCGTCGTTGAATAAGTAGCTACACGATCCGCGGATGTTTTGCAAGGCTAGCGATGGGTTTGCGTAGTAATGCTATCTGTGGTCGGTGCACTTTGATGCGGAGTAGCTTGACGCCAGATCGTGCTCCAGTCGCCCTACTGACCTCGTATGCTACAGTGCACACGACACCTGGCAACTGCCTTGCTCCCGAAAACTTATTGAAGTTGCCGTGGCTATCCCACTGGTCCGAAACCCGCGTCTTGACGTACAGGGACATCCCTGGACAGCGAGCGCATAAGCGACCCGTGCACGCCAGCGTTGCCACAGTAGCCGCCGGGTCCGTGCGCCTCGACCGGCCACGGCATCTACGGTACCCATGTAGTAGCGAGTAGCTCGGACCCGGCCACATACGCGCCGTCTTGTCCAACGCGCACAGTACACCAAGTCCGCACTAGCAGCACGAATGCAAAGTTCTTCGTATGTAGCAGGATGAGCAGCGCGGCGGTGCGCGTCCGTGGGCTGATTGATGGCCAAGAATTACTCGCGGGTTCGCTCCTGGCTCGTGCACGACGCGCTTGTGAAGCGGTCGCTGGACGCATATCAGTGGGCCATCTCGGCAGGTGTTGCGCCGTTCTCGATCGTGCCAGACGACTAGTTCGGGACAGCATTAGTTATTTGCGGGGCTGGGCACCTTCAACGAGTTGCTTGCTGGTGCCAGTGTGGAGGCAGGTCAATTCCCCACATCTTTCAAGTAAGTCCAGAGGTGTTCAAAAAGATAGCCAATCACAGTGCCCGACACTAGCTTCTACGTCCAATGAAACGCGGGCTGGCAGCCTTAGGGGCCGTGTGTTCACCGTTGCCCGCAGCTGCGGCGGCGCGGCGAGAGGCAGCATTTTGGGATTTCTGAAGCCTCGCACAAGCAAGACGACAAGCATGATGGTCGAGCAGCCCATGTGCAGCGATAAGTACTCGATGGCGTACCTCCTTCAAGACGTTTCGCCCCACACGACGTCGGTCTGGGAGTATGTGCTGCAGCATGGCGCGTTCCCGCCCGAGCTCTTTAGCCGCCAAGACGACGCGTCGCCGACCGACGACGAGTCGGACGACCATAGTAGCACCATCAAGAAGGCGTGCTCGTCCGACTACTCGAACCTCGACGGCGTCCGCACCGGCCGCTGGTCCAAGGAAGAGGAAGAGTACGCGAACGCGATGATTGAAGCGTTCAAGACGGGCGTGTTGCCGCTCCCGGGCACCATGAGCATGCGCAAGTTCGTCTCGGAGCTCCTCCGGTGTCACCCGATGCGCGTGAGCAAGAAGTTTGTCGGGTATGTGCGAAAGTACCACTGGTACACGACGCACCTCGCCGAGTCGACGGACGGCGTCGCGCCCCACATCGTGCTCGCCATGTACGCGCAATTGAGCCGCCTCGAGCAAGCCTTCTGGTCCTCGGAGCCGCTCCACGCGTCGTAAGCACGATTTCTGTCCATTATTAAGTTATCAAAAGAATGCATTCTATTTCGCTGTACATTTCATCACATCATTTCGCTGCTCCACGAACGCGAGTTGGCGCGACGATCTTCGTGCGCCTCTGCGTATCTATGCTGCGCAATGCGAGGAACTTCCGTGGCTCGAGTATGCGCACGTGTCAGTATTGTTGGACCACGGGCGGCGTCGCCCACATAAGACGTCGACCCTTGCCTCAGCTGGATCCGCTCAGCTGACGTCGGCCGGATGCATCATCGATTAGGATTGCACATCACATGGCGATCTTGGCGACTGGGTACCACCCCGGGACCCACCGACAGTGGGGTGCTGGTCCATATAGAAGGACTCCGTTGTGGGGGGTGGACCGAAATTTAAATAGTCTTTGCGTGTAGGATGGTCGCACTCGGATGATCGCGTTTTGCATGCATTCGTTCCAAACCGTGAGAGGAGTACACAAGAGGCACGTACGTTTATACTGTGCAACCCTTCCTATGACCCCTCGAGGCTGGCGGCGGCTCTGAAATTGCTGTGGACTTCAGCCGCGTTCGGTTACTACACTATTTCATTACAAGTATATATTGAAATGGTGTTGCTTTCCCTTGCGGTCAACTCCAAGCGGCGCGCGTTTGCATTAAAATGTGGGATATTGCACTCGTCTTTTAATGCACAGACCGAAGCATTTTCACGCACCTATCTTTAAAAATAGTATTATGAGACATCGAAAATAATAAACAGACGCACGATATAAAATAAATCATGCCACGACAAATGCGACGCGAAATTAAATTCCAACTGACTGTTTGTGGCTGGCTGTGGGCCGTCATTTTCGAAGCGGTGGCCGTGAAAATGAGCAAGTGGGTCCCGTACAAGCCGTGGAAGATCGAGTCGTATCTTTCGCCCGAGCTGCGCCAGAAGCTCCGCGAGAAGCTCGTCTTCGTCGTCGCCTCGGGCACGCAGCAGGCGTACCAGTCGCCCACGACGGAGCAGAACTTCCGCTACCCGGCGCCGACGAGCCACAAGGAGGAGGCCCACGTGCCGTCCACGGGCTCCAAGAAGAACGTCTACAGCACGCAGTACTACACGCGTGATGTGCGCCGCTTCAAGAAGTGGAACAAGGCCGAAGTTGGCATCCACCCGTCGCTTGCGATCGCGCCGCCGGCGGAGCTGCCGGCTGACACCTTTCTTGGTAGCCCGGGCAACAAGAACCCCGCTGTTTTGGCGTACGACCCGACGGGCACGCGCTCGGCCATGTCGACGACCTTTGCTGCTCGCGACAGCCTCATTGAAGCGCTCGGCGAAGACACCCACTTGGTGCGCATGGAGTGGGAGCCGTTCCAGGCCGAGATCGTTGCCGAGTACGAGGCCAACGGCACGCCGCCAGTGCCCGGTCGCCCATTCCCGTGGGACATGCCCAACCGGTCGCGCATTGCGCGCTGGTAAGGCGTTGGGCAATGGTACTGCATCTGTATAGGACATCTTATTGGGACACACAGCAAGAGCCTTGTACGATTGAAAATATAGATATCGTTGTTCGTCGTGTTGTCGCAGGTGGAGTGCTAATGTACATGAAGGCTATTCGTTCAGCGCGACAAGAACGAGTGCTGTCGCCCCGTCGATCGCTGCGAGAAGCCGCGCAGAAACATTTCGTCCTCGTCTTCCTCGTCGGGCATTTGACTAAAGCGCTGTGACGTGACCGTGTGGTGGAACTGCGGCGCGGCGAGCGCGCTCTCGGGCAGCAACAATTGGCCGCGAGCAAAGGCCATGCGCGCAAACATAGCACTTGTGTCATCTTCGCCGTGGACGCCGCTGGCCTTGTTGATCGCGGTGACCGCGTCCTCGGCGACTTGGCGGGCTGGGAATTCGAGGAAGCCAAAGCCTTTCGCGTCAAAACTCATCGGGTCGTGCTCGAACGAGACGGAGACAACGAGACCGTAGGTGCCAAAGTGGCGCATCATTGCGCTCTCGTTGAGCAGCCACGCTGGCATCTCGCCCACGTACACACGGTGGGTCGCGATCGGTGCATCTTGCACCGGCGTCGACGCCATCATGACCACCAAGATGCCAAACTGCTTGTGAAGCATCGAAGTTCGAAGCTAGACCGAAATCGAAGTTTCCATACCAGGATGGTCCAACGCCCAGCTTGCCCTTTGCCCTCGTCGTCTCCGTCTTGCCCCAGCCTCGTCCAGCGTTACGTGTGCGAACTGCACGAGCAACGCGGGCACGGGATCAGGTTCTCGGCTGCGCGAGGCGGTTCAACTTCTCGTCGCCTTCTTCCGAGTTGCGCCAGCCGGGCGCCAGCCCCGATCCCCTGCGTTGAAGCCACATCAGCAATAAGTAGCCAGCATAGCATTGGTCACGTGAACGCGCTCGTGGCTTCCGTGGTGGCAATGGCCCATTGCCAACGGTCTCGCACTTCCCACACGAGCTTTCCACGTGTTGAAGTTCGGGCCCATTTTGCTTTTACCCTCCTCCGTGTCGTTGAAGCCGTCGCTTTGGCTCCTCTATACACTGTACTACCGGTAGTACTCGCAGCAGGCGCTTGTGGTCGTCGTGCCCGAGGCTGGAGCGGTGCACCTCGGGTGCGCGAATACCGTTGGGATGCAAGCGCCACGTGCTGCTTGATACGCAGCGACTCGACATCGCCGCTGATTGGCTCGATATTTTTAAGATACCACCCTTGATTGGCTAAAAATCGGCGAAGGAAATAGAATGTGTGCGACGGGGGTCCTTCTCGCTGCCAGTTCCGAGATTTCAGCATGCAGCCCCGCGTCGAAGTCGTGAGCAAGACGAACGTGTCCTTGACGGTGGCCGTGCTGCCTGCAGCCGCCAAGTTCCAGCTGGTAGACATGCCATGGGCATGGCAGGTTCATCATGGCGGCCATAGGCGTACAGCGAATATGGCTACGTGTACTACTCGTGGACCGAGGTGGAGGCGACGGGGTCGCCATTGACGATCAAGGGTCTGCAGCCCAACACGTGCTACGTGTGCAAGGCGCGCCTCTTCAGCGATGAGACGAATCAGTGGCTCGAGTATGGCCCGATCAGCCAGTACATGCGCACGTTTACCGAGGAGGAAGAGACAAAGCGGTCGGGCACCTACTACGAACACGTACGCCCAGCGCGACTCAAGGATTGCAGACGAACCTTGGCTCCATAGGCACTCAAGATGGAGCGCCAACATCGCACCGAGATGCAGCAGCAGATCCAGCGACTGCAAAAGATGTACCGCCAGCCACGTAGTCAGGGATCTGACGACGGGCGTAGGCTCAGCGACCCGTCGAGTCCCCGCGGTAACAAGAAGCGCCAGCCCTCGGCCCAAGAGAACCTCATGGCAAGCCGTATGGACATGGACGTGAACATTGCCAAGCTGCGGAACGAGCTCTTGTACGATGATGAACACCTGTCCTTTTGGGCAGACTCTGAAATGCAAGTGTAGGGAGCAAGCGGCGACGATGAAGTCGCTCGAGAAGCAGCGCAAGCTCGACGAGGAGGTCATTACCGAGCTTTTGAACGAGCAAGAGAAGCTGCGCACGCTGCAGGAGACGGCGCAATCGTCGGCGTCGGACCAAGCGGAGATTGCGCGTCTGCAGGCGCTTTTGAGTGCGAACGAAGCCCAGCTACACAACCACCAGAACCAAGCGATCCATGGTCAGTCGCAGATTGAGACGTACGAGCGGTCGCTCGACCAGAAGCGGCAAGAGATTGCGGTCAAGGAGATGGAGGTCGAGCGGCTCATGGACGACTGCCAGCGCGTGATGCAAGAAGCCGCGGACGTGGCCCACTGCAAGCAGCTCGAGCTTGAAGAAGGCCTTTTGGAAGCCAAGAATGCGCTCGAGCGCCAAATGGACAACAATGCGATGCTGCACGAAGAAATCAACCGTCTCCGGACCGAGAACTCGCAGCTGAAGCAGTCGATCGAGGAGTTTGACTCGAAGATCGCGCCCAAGCTCGTCCAGCTCGAGGAAGAGAACGAGTATCTCAAGCGCCGACTGCAGTAGATGGAGTTCGGTCCCGCGTGGGCGCGTAGCCTTATCACTAATATACCGTCGTCCACGCTTTCGTCACGAATTAGTGTTGCAACGGCTGCGCGCATCGGTTTCGGGCGCCATGAGCAAGCTCCGGCAGCTCTCGCCCGAGAAGGTGATCCCATCGCCGCTGCCGCTGTACAAGCTGCCCGCCGAGGCCAAGGTGCCCAAGACGGGCTGCCCGTCACGGCCGTCGCGGCTGCGCGTCGTGCGGCACTTGCACTCGAGCCCGTCCGAGCCCGAGCCGATCCTCAAGGAAGCAATCAACGACGACGACAATGAGGATGACGATGGCGACGATGACGAGACGGCGTCGATCACGACCGTGTACAACTACTACGAACCGGCGCTCAAGCACAGCGAGGCGCCATCGACGCTCAGTTTTGACTCTGTTTTTGAGAGCGGGAACCTCCTGCGCGCCGACCGTGTGCGCTATCAAAACCACCGCACGCGGGACGAGTCTTGTACGTCGCGAAGTCCCTTTGCACTTCATGATCGCGCGCTTGTAGACCACGAGTACGAGCTCTACGTGCATCCAGACATCAACAATAGCGCATACCGCCAGTGGTTTTACTTCCAAGTGACCAATATGGTCGTTGGTGTCGAGTACCGGTTCGCGATCGTCAACCTCGCGAAAAGCGGCGCCTTGTACCAATCGGGACTGCAGCCCGTTGTCTACTCGGAGGCGGCGGCGGCGCACGGGACTGGGTGGGTCCATGGCGGCTTCCACGTGCGCTACGACGCGTCCGAGCGCCAAGAAGGCTCCAACACGCTCAGCTTTAGCTACGTCTTTGCTACGGCCTCGGACTGCGTCTACTTTGCGTGCATTCACCCGTATACGTACACGGGTAGCTACCGTTTTTTCATTCTCGCAGCGTTTTATTGACGGATTTTGTAGATTTACTCGACTATTTGGACGCGCTCGAGAGCGACCCGGTGCGATCGGCCGTGTGTCGTCGCACTGACCTCTGTCAAACGCTTGCCGGCAATTCCTGCGACCTGCTCACCATCACGTCACCGGCCAAAGAGGGTGGTCTCCCGCTTGATGCGCGCCGAGGTAGCAGTGTTGATTTGACGCACCACTTGCGATACTTTGAGCTAGTGATTGTCATATCCGCCCGCGTGCACCCCGGCGAGTCGAACAGCAGCTTTATGATGAAAGGCATTCTCGACTACCTGACGAGCGCCGTGTACGGCGCGGTCGTTCTGCGCCGGCATTTTATCTTCAAGATCGCTCCAATGCTCAACCCGGACGGCGTCATCAACGGCAACACCCGCGTGAGCCTTGCGGGTTCTTTATCTTTTGATGGACATATTGTCTATACTTCGAAACGATACTATACTAGGCTGGGACCTCAACCGCAAGTGGGCCTATCCGGTCGAGAAGCTTTTTCCGACCATCTTTCACCTCAAGCGGCTCATCACAAGCTTCCAGCGGCCGCAGCCGAGCGGGCCGCCGCGTGTGGCGATCTACTGCGACCTCCACGGCCACAGCATCCAGCGCAACATCTTTACGTACGGCTGCTACAAGTCAACTCGACGGGGCAAGTCGGCGCTCAAAATGCACGCAAAAGACGACCCGCGTGTGTTCCCCATGATCGTCGTGCGTCCTTTTCCTTTGATTTTTCGTCTACAATGAGGTCGACAGGCCAAGCAAAGCGACTTGTTTTCGTTTGCCCACTGCAACTTCAAGGTGCAAGCGTCCAAGCTCAACACGGCGCGCGTCGTCGTGCATCAGGAGCTCGGTGTTATCAACAGCTACACGCTCGAAGCGTCGTTCTGTGGCCCCGATTTTGGCGCTAAAAAGGACACACAAATGTCGATAGCGGATCTCGAGGCCATGGGCGCAACGTGGTGTCAAAGCCTCCTCGTCTACTACGAGCTACTCACAAAAGAGGGCTCCAGTCCATCGGTCGGCAGCGTGCCATCCGCGCCGACACCAGACCCGCCGCGAGCGGTCGGCCAGCCCCGCGTCGAAGACAACGACGATGTCGACCCGGAGGAGCCGACCATCACATGGGATCCCGGTCTTCTCAACGACTGCGAGTGCTTGGTGTGGCCATAAAAACTCGATATATGGATTCTATGGGGAGAATATGTAGCTGGATGCGATGAAGCAGCACGACGACGACGACGCAGATGCACAAGATGTCGACTCGGACGTGTCGGACGCAGCCAACAACCCGATCCCGCCCAACAACGAACCCGAATTGTACCGCCCCAAGAAGCCCAAGACGCGAAAAACCAAGAAGAAGAAGAAAGGAAAACATAAAAAGAAGCCCAAGAAGCGCAAGAAGGTGCTACTACAAGGCACCAACGGCGGCATCCTCGGTACAACATTGTTCGAAATATCGATGTTAATCAGGCGCCCAGTTCCCACAATCCCCGTCCCGCTCCCGGGCGCCATGACGTACCGCGACCCATCGACTGCGGGCATGGACGAACCTTATATGTTGGACCTTGCGGCCATCGATACACCCACGAGCGTCTACTCGCACTTCAAGAAGCCTGCGCTGTCGCGGCCTTCGTCGGGCAGCTCGATACCGAGCCTGAGCCCCAAGTTTAGCCTACAAAAGTGCGTCGGCGCGCTCATGATACGCCCGAGCACGGTCGAGAGATAACATCGACTTGTCAATTGTGATATAGCACGACTTCGCGCTTGGGATTGCTATCCCTTCAAAGCGCCGCGGTTCTCCCACCGGTAGCCCAGGATGGTCAGCTGCGAAACAGTCGCGAGCAAGTCGCGACACAGTCGTGAGGCAGGGACGGGGCAGTGTACGGCGGTCGCTCAGGTCTTGCAATCGCACGATCTTTTTTCTTTCGTGCCTTTAGTCCAAGGGTTCTGAGGTCTCAGGTTCGGCAAATCTCAGTCAGGCCGAGACCACCGGTGCAAACCACTGCGCATCTCAAGCTCGGACTCGCCTTTCACTCGGTGCCCACTCGGTGCCCGCTCCATTAATGTCTTGGGCTACCGCCTCTGTCACTACGGGAACCACGATCGATAGACATGCTTAGACCCATATATGGCTTGAACCTGGCAATGCATGAAAGAACACAGTGTATTCAATACACTGTATGACAATCCAGTGTTCTGGGCTGCGTTTTGCTCGGAACAATGTAAGACGGCGAATATGGAGCTGTCCCAGGACCTGACCTTTGGACGAAAGTATGACGCATCGAAGGACGCATTAAAGGCTCCTCTGTGTCCACACGCACAGTGTTGCTCACCGAATCGATGCTCCGTTCGAACTCGCCGGTTACAAATGACGCGCGCCGAATTCGAGCTCCCCTAAATTTAACCGGTTAAATTCGGCGGCTCGTCCGCAATACGGTTACTACTGTGAGGTTGAATGGGTGCGGCAGCGAGCAACACCAGCGCAGCCGTCGCGGCGCCGATCGCCAAGACGGGCCGCAAGGTCATCCGGACCAAGCTCCGACGCCAGGACCTCTGTACGTCGATGGTCCTGCTGAGGTCGACGTCTCATGCTTCGTCTAGTCGTCTTCCAGGGCGCAGCGCCGGTCAAGTCGGGCAAGCTCATGGAGATGGACCAGCATATCCTGCACGACGCCGAGCGCTTTGACGAGCTCGAGAAGGTCGACTTCCTCGAGGTACGCGCGCGATGCTTGCCACAACGGCTCATACCGGCGATGTAGACGGACGTCGAGGGCTTCCAGCGCACGGCGAGCGCACGCCGCAAGCCAAGCGACGGGCCGACGCCGCTGCCGACCGACAAGTCGTGGGCCTCCAACAGCATGACGCTCGTGAGCGACGAGCCCGGTCGCTTCACGGACAACCAGTTCCGCGACCTCCTTCGGCAGTACCGCGAGAAGCCGACGCCTGAGACCAAGACCGCGCTTGCCGTCAAGTTTGGCGCCGACCCCAGCGTGATTGAAAACATCTTGACCAACTGCACGCCGCCTCGGGTCATGGAGCCCACGACGTCTGTGAGCTACCCGTCGGGCGTCTGGTGGTCGTAATAGAGTCCGACTAAAATACCTCTCGTCAAATCCGCATACATTCTTGTCTTACTTTCGACGAGCTAGCCAATGATCCTAAATGAGCGTGGCGATGGCCGTCGCGTGGTGGGATTCACATTTGCTACATCTGCCCATGCGTCCTCAGTGGCTGTGTCCCTGCTCCCTGCAGATAGCAGATCCCGAACGTATCTTGCAGAGCGCCACTTGGCTGCCACTAAACAAGACGCGGTCGAGCCTGCGACGGTGCAGGGAAAACTCGACGTGGCCGTCGCCGAGCATGAAGACGCCACCACCCAACTAACTGGCGCCTTGGACTCTGCCGTTGGGATCTTTTTGAACGCGCTCACCAAGTCGTACCGCGTCCAAGACATGGCTTCCTTCCGCCACGTCATCGCGGCCTCGCTTCAAGCCCCTCTCTACTTAGCATTACTTACCAATGCTAAGCCCTAATCATTCAACAACCTGATTCATTATGCTTCTGTTGTTGTTTTTGGTGGCCGCCAACGCCTTGGCGCGAATTCTACTGCATATTATACTACGCCTTTGCTTCCTGCCAGAGGCGCAGCATGTGCCCTGACGTGATGAAGCTGTTGTAGAGCACGTCGCGGTCGAGCTGTGACCCTGTGGCTTAGAGATACTCAAGACACTCAAGACGAGCTTCCAATGACGACCTCCTTCATACGCCCAAAGAGGCTTTGCGGGTACCTGTTTAACACCTTAAGGACCTGGTTTGGATCGACACGAGCGAGTCGCGGCGCTCGATGTGCGACATTGTGAACGACGGTCGTGCGTGGTGCACGGCGTCGTGGCATCTTCATTTTTGTGGTCGATGGCGGCAAGAGGAACGTTCGAGTGCGACTCGTTCATCTGCGCTGGCGCATTGATGCTCCTGCAGATACATGGTAGGATGGAGTCTGCAGTGGCTGGTAACTGCTGCATGAACGAGAAGAGGTTTCGGCGAAACCGGTGTGAGACCAGGTGGCCTTTCCACGCAGCCAAAACGATGGGTGGCAACTCGATCCAGTCGAGCTCGAGCTCGCGGCGGACGCCGACGCGGACAGCGCGACACCGTCAGTCGATGGCGCTCACGCATCTCACGGAGCGCTACACGATGCACGAAGCCCGTGACGACGACGATGACGACGTGGTCGAGCGCGTCACCGAACATCGGCGCGCCGAGATCAAAAAGAACCCGACCTTGCGCACGTACCGAGGATGTGCGCGGTGGAAGGTGCGGATTCGGCGCTTCATGGACGAGCCCATGAGCAGCGTTCGTGCGCAGATCTACTGCTACGTTATGATCGTCAACATCATGGGCAATTTCATGCCGTGGATGATCGAGACGCTCGACGGACCCAACCACACACCAGGCGACCCGGGCACGTGCGTCGACTGCGGCTACCCGTGGCTCTTTACGGCGCAAACGTACTTTTACTGGAATTTCGCCTACACGATCGTTTTTACCGTCGAGTTTCTCGTGCGCTGGGCCGCGTGCAAAAGCCAAGTCCACGTATTGCCTTGTCGTACATACATGGTGGGGCTTATGGTCGTCTTGTATGTGATAGTACTGGCGGCGTGCCCGTACGATCCTCGACGTCCTTGCGCTTGTGCCGAGCTACTTCCTGATCTACCACAAATATTCGGACACGCCCGAGTCTAAGTACCAGCCGTACTTGAATATGCTGCGCATGGGCCGCAACATGCGCATCGCCCACATGCTCCGCGTTCGTTGCCGCGTCCAGAGTCTTGAAAACGTCGACTTTCTCGTGCGTAGGACGTGCCTGGGATTCGCATTTTGGCCATTACGACCAAGCAGTGCATTGCACCGCTGCAAGTCACGGTGCGCGAATTTCCATATGTTTTGTTGAGTTTAGTGAGTAGGGTTATTTCCTCGTGACGATCATCATGTTGTTTGCGACCGCCTTGTACTATGCGCAGCCGTGCTACGATGTCGAGACGTGTAAATTCACCGACGTGTTCAACGCTGCGTACTTTATCATGGTCACGTACGTCGTCGTATATATTGGGCAATCTCTGTCCAATATTACACTAAAAAATACTTAGTGTTGCGACGGTCGGGTACGGCGATCAAACGATTGATGTCAACAACGTTCTCGCACTTCTCATCGACTGCAACGCCATGATCTTTGGCGCGCTGTACCTTGCGATGCCCTTTGCGATCATTGGCGTGCGCTACCAAGTCGCGTGGCACCGCCACGAGGTCCGCGCGCGGCGACGCCTCCAGCATCAAGACTCAAAGGTCACTGTGAGCGTCCGGCCCATTCCAAGCGTGACGCTCAACACCTATGCGCACAAGGCGACGCGTCACTATTTGGACCTGTGTGCCGAGGTCTCGTCGTTTTGCCGCCAAATCGACACGCTCTTTGGCTTTGTAAGCTCCTTTTCTCGAGAGAGCACGGCTCAACGCATCACTAGGTGCCCCATGACGTCATTCATGGTGTGGACCGCAAAGATCACCACGAATTACTCGTCCAGATGGTAGCCAACGCAAAATATGTCATGGTGCTCTTCCACCACAACCTTCAAGACATCAAGGCGTTCGAGCCGAAAGCATCGGTAGCAGCAGACACCAAGCCCATTGGCCGCAAGCCCAGGTACGACCGCAATGCAGTTTCTACTCACTCAATCCTGTATACTCTAGAACGCGCACGACGCTACTGCAAAGCGTTTTGCAGCTCAAACTAGTGACCAACAAGAAGCACGAACTCGTGCTTGGGACGTGGCGCTACACGCTTGCACAGTGGCTCAAGCATCCGGACGATTCCCGCGCGGGTCGGTTCTTGCACACATGCTTCTTCCTCGTTGCACTCGCGAGCGTCCTCTTGTTCTATGCCGAGACAACGCCCGAGCTTCAGAGCTACGGACCACTGACACCACTTTGCCAGCGGGCGTTTGCTACCTACTGTGCGCAGTCAGAGAACCCTTGGACCGACCCTGGCTGCTACGTGCACGATGCGAGCGGCGGTCTACGGTCGCCATTGACGATGCTCGACTTTTACTGCGGCACGCCCAATGCCGCCGACACGTGCTTTGGTTTTGGACCCAACTATGGCCGCAACAGCTCCGATTGCAGCGGCTTGTTTCAAGATGTCGAGCGGCTCTGTAATCTCCGGCAATGCCAATCGGGGCACACTCCAGTCCTCGACATGACGCCGCACTGGGTCTACTTGGAGTGGCTTTTTGGCATCGTCTTCTCGGTCGAGCTCGTTTTGCGCTATGCAGTCGCCGAGGACAAGCGTGCATATTGCATCGCTGGCGACACGGCCATCGATGTGCTTTCCGTGCTGCCCTTTTACGCCGAGGTAGAACTCCTTTGTCTGGATCCGGACATACAACACGTGGCATCGCGTAGGCACTGCAAGGCTTCGTCGCCGGCCACGATCCGATCTATGCCGTTGTGCCGACGTTTCCGACCGCTGCATCCATTTTGCCCATTTGCAAGACGCTACGTGTGCTCAAGCTCACGCGGGTACGTGATTTCGCTGCGGATTGGTCCTCCATCAAACAAATCATGGTAGCACTTTCGAGCGACAACGGTCCTCGCGCAAACCGCGATTCTGTGCTGGCGCCGCCTGTTGATCCCTGTACGTTGTGGCGGCTATGACGAGTCGTGACGCGGCATGCGTAGCTCTTTTTTCTCTTCCTCTCGTGCGTTGCGACGGCGGCGCTCTTTTACGAGATCGAGCGCGGTACCCAGTGCTTTGTGGGCCTTCCGTGCACATGGTGGGACCGGCAACTCTGGACCAACGAGCTCGAACAAGGGCTGCCGCATCTCAAGCGTGTGCAGATCCAAGTGAGCACGTACACCATCATTACCGATATGCTCCGGTCGACATACTACTCGATTGTCACGTCCGACGCGCGGACATAGTACCTCTGTCGCTCATCGTGCTTTGTGTAGTTTTACGACGGTCGGGTACGGCGACCTCAAGGTCCGCACTCCGTTTGGCAAGATATTTGACATTTTGGTGATGCTCTTTGGCTCGTGCTACACGGCGATGCCGCTGTCCCTTGTTGGCGGTCAATTCTACGCTTGCTACGAGCTCTACCTGCTCGAGCAGACGGTATATACGATGAGGTTTCATTCTATGCCAACGTCCATGTAGGGCGAGGACGTTACCGATGCCGGGCCGCGCGAAGACCATATTCCCAAGCACCTCGTTTTGTCTCCAGATGAAGTCGAGACGCTCCGCAACTGCAACGTACTCGTGATCCTCCTCGACGAAATGATCCACAACATCCACCGACTCAACGACCTCACGCCGCACGCAAGCTTCCTCGAGATCGTTCCTACCGAACGCACGGGCCATCGAAGCAGCACTCAAGGCACGCGCAAGAGCATGAACGAGTCGATGGAGCTCGTGCGCCGCCGCGCGTCCGTGGGCCAGCAGATTGCGCGGGTCTTGCCAGGTCGGCGGTCCGTCGCTGACGTCTACGCGCCGACGGAGCTCGAGCGCATCCACGAGTATGCCCGTGTCCGCGGGCACCTACGGGACGCCTCGCACCTCGTGACGGTACGCTTCGTCAATTTGGCGCCTCGTGAACGTTGGTCTCGTAGACCATCTTTTTCCAATTTACGAGCCTCGTCGAGAAGATCGCTGAAGCGACGCACAGCGAGTCGTATACGGAATTTTAGCCGCCAAATACAATGTACAAGTTGTCATCGGCGAGCTCAAACGGTTACGAACTTCAACGTCCCATCGAAACCGGTTGGTGGTGGTTACACCCATGAGCCACACGAACGCACCCGCTCGGTACTGACGGATTGCACTACTAGTATTCAGTAGCACCGGCAACTTGGCTATTTGATAAATACGTGATCGCTTTGGCGTCGATCGAAACGGTAAAATCATCGTTTGATTACGAGCTCCACATGTGACGGGAAAGATCGTCGCATTTTACAACGACAGTGCGCACGTTGCACTTGGGTTCTCGAGGTCGACGCTGGCTTGGACTGCAGAGACGAGCCGCAGCTTGAAGCAGCGCATCGCGCCCAGGGCTGTCACACACGCCACCGAGGCGTCGAGCGTGGATCGCATGTTCAAGCCACGGAGGGTACGCGCTGCTGCCTCGAGAGCTGGTAGCAGTGACGTCCAGTTGTCACTAGGCTCGTTGTCGGATAGATCCAAATGGGTGAGACAGGGACACTCGGGCACTGTTGCGAGAATGCTGTGGACATCCTTTGTACTCAGACTCGTGGACGCCAAGCGAAGCGACTGAAGACGTCGGCAGTGACGCAGTGTCGTCAAGAGCGCAGTCATCGCAGACGATACGGCATCAAGGCCAGTCAAGTCCAGGCGCTCCAAGATGGAGAGGCTGCCAAAAGCCGAGACCACGTCGACGAGGCATGGTGCGTTCGGCAGCGTGCAGCCCGAGAGATTGACCGACTTGAGCTGCGTCAAAGAGCGCACAATGGGAGCAAGGATTCTCGGGGGCTGCGTCACAAAGACAACTTCCAGCTTGAGCTCAGTGAGGTTGCGCATTCGAGGCAGCGACATCACGAGGCCGTCGACGACGTCGTCTTCGCCCGTATTGTCGTAGACCTTGAGCGAGCAAAGCGACGGTGGAAGATGCGCCCAGAGGTTGTCATCCGGTACGACCGCCACGTTGTAGAGCGTGAGGTGCTGCAGCGACGTACAGGCTTGAAGAACCCGCGAGAGGTTCAGATCCGGGTCGTCAGCTGTGTCGAGGAAGAGGTTCTTGAGCACAAGGTCCCTTGCGCGGCCAGTGCGCAAAAACGCTGCGAGGCCGAGCCCGAGACGCGCGTCGACTTCGTACGGATAGTCGTTGTGGGGCAGGACGAGGCTAAAGTTGCACAGCCGAGGATGCGCAAGTACTTGAAAGAGGGGGATCGCGGCCGTCATGCGCGGGTCCGTGTCTTCGCTGTCGTAGCGCAGATCGAGCTTCTCGAGTCGTGGACACGACAGCAAGAGATCACGAAAGAATGGTCCGTTGTCGCCGGCGAGTACGGTCGTATTGACGTGCAAGTAGACGCTCCGCAGATACGGCACAAAGTGCGTTGCGATGAGGTCCATTTGGGCCCGGCCAACGATGCCGCAATCCCAGTCGATGCGTGGGCCCAGCGATAGCGTGCTTCGAAGTAGATCAAGGGTCGGTGGCGGCAGAGCACGCGTCGTGAGCACGAGCGTCGGCCACACCACTTCGACGACCCGGCGGAGACTGGGCGTCGTCGCGATCGTCACGACGCTTTGCAGCGGCCGCGTTCGGCTTTGCTCGGGCAGCGTGTGAAGTAAGTCGAGGAACGTTCTCGGCTCGGGAATGAACGTCGCAATGATCTCAAAGATGTCGGCGGTGAGGCCATCGCGGGCATTGTGGCGCTGGCGCTGCGCCATCTTGTTTTGAAAAAGGCAACTTGTGGTAGCCAATCCGAGCGCGAGTCGCATTGACTGACCAATCGCAGGCGACGCAACGGCCGTGGATGATCTTTCTTTCTCGATGAATCGTTGGCGTACCAGTTATTGTGGCTTGCATAGCGCGTGGCCATTTTCACCTCCAAAAAACCATCGATTAGCAGCGATAATCGATGGTTTTATTAGATAATCGAGGCATAGCGCGACACGCGTAAATTATAAATTCTGGTGGGACAGTCTCCAAAAAAGAATATAACTATTACAAAATATACTCTATGTATTTGTATGCTATATTTATGGTTTTACTAAAGATGTCTGGCAGGCCACCCGCTTTTGTCATTTGACACCTTAGCCCACGCCTCAAGCGAGCGCTAACCTGAGCGCTAATCAATGGATAGCGGAGGATAATCCGAAGGTTTGCATTTCTGAAATGGCAAACCTTCGGATTATCCTCCGCTATTCAATGATTAGCGCTCAGGTTAGCGCTCCTGCTTGAGGCGTGGCTGCGGACCGCTAGGAGGAGCGCTGGCCATTGAATAGCAACGGATAACCGCTATCCAGTGGTTTGCGCTCCTGCTCGAGGGATATCCGTGGACTAACAGCAAGGCGCAAACGCTACGCGTAATGTAGCTCGGGGGCAAGACGGAGCTCCTGGTCACGGCACTTCTTCTCCACAGCGCTCACTGCCACTACTCCACGTCTCTTCCTGGTGCTAAGATCCAAGCCGCTTTAGTGCTTAGCGCGGCACGGTGCGCATTATTAGTCAAGACAGTTGCGGTCATGGCTAGTTTCCGTTGGGTTTGCACGTGGGCGCTCGCGTTTAAGCCACGAAAACACGATGTTATTGCATTATCTGGCACTACGCTACATGGCAGCGGTATGAGCCTTCTCCACTGCGGTGTATGGGTAGGCGACGGAGCCGTGGCGCACGCGGCGCTTGAGCTCCTTCTGCGCAGGCGCCATCATCGGCGCGTTTCCGACGCTCACGCCGGACGAACGTGTCCCCGAGCCAAACGTCTTCGTATCTCTTGCGGTTCTTGACCACCTAGCTACTAGCAGCGATCCACCTGTACCTAGAGGATGGTGTCGATGCGGCACACGATGAGCGCATTGCCGGCGTGCATGCTCGCGCTCATCCCACTGCCATCGCTCGTCGATCGTCTGACGCCGGCCGCCCAGCGCTGCGCCAGGCAATGGTCGCTCGAGGCCTTCGACAGCCTTGCGCACGTGTTGCTGCTATCGGTACTGTTGCACGAAGGTGGTCTCGACGAAGCGCCGGGTGTGCGCAGCCGGGTGCTGTACGCCATAGTCGGGTACGGGAGGCGTGCCGCAGAGGGGCCGTGGGCGCCACGGACCAGTCTGCACCTGCAAGGGATCGACCGTCAGCGCGCGCGCGGCGCGGCGGCCTACATCGTGTCGACATGGTTGATGCGCGCCCCTCGAGTCCGAGGACGCACGCCGGCGC